ATTCGATAGAGAATTGAATGAGGGTCACGAATATCACGCCCCCATCATCCAAAATCGTTTCCTCGCAGAGATATCCTCAAAATACTTGGAGCATGTCAGAAACTTAAAAATCTACTTTTTCAAAAACGTGACCCTAAGTTTTCCGGATTTTGTTTTCGAGTTTTGAGGTTAAATGTCTCAGATTCAGCGCTGAAAACTGAATCTAGACAAGCAACTTTCAGCCTCCTAGGACCGAAAATGGTCTGGAACTTTTAAGGTCATATTCGTGATCAGCATGAAATTCTGCATCAGAATATGTACCTTCTGTTGAAAAACAAAAACTACTCGAATTTTGCATTGTGTGCACCTTACTTCTCACAATTTCTCATTGCATTTTGCATCTTCGGATTTTGCAATAAAACACTTAATACATTTTTTTGTAGAGAATTCAACGAGGAATCTTTTAGTAAGAAAAACATCGAGTGTAAGATGGAGGAGAAATTTTGAAATACTAATAGCGCGATTTTTATTCAATACGAAACTGATTAATCTTGTAGAATACTTTATACAATAGGATGTCTAAGGCGATGATGTTTTTTGCCCTTCATGACTCTCACTTGATTCGATGTAATGTGCCTAGTTCTTATTAAAATACTTGTCGTGAAAGAAAAGAATATTGATTATAGGCACAGGCAAACAGAGAGTTCAGTATCTCTCTTTCTGAAATAAAAAATCTATATGGATGTACACTATGTGCATATATCCTTTAGTTCTATTTGTTTTCATTGAATACATTTTGACATACAGTGGGTGTTATTATAACGATAAAATGAATCAGAAAATAATTGTCGTTTCGAAATAGAATAAGCACACAACACAACAGTAATAACACAATTATTAATAAATATAAAACAGAATCAATGTCTGTACCGTGAATCAGAGCCAAAAACAAAAATGCCTTGTGGTTTTTAATTGTTCCTAATCTTAAAAAGAAAACATTTAGAAAGTATTTCTTCCAATACCGTCAGTACAAACTACATTAGGAATAATATCTTGAAATATATCCTTCAAAACTACAGCTTTATTTAAGCAAAAAAAAATATGCAAATTGGAACTCGATTTTTGCTCTAGTTAAACTGTGTCCTTATTATACTTTTCATAAAATTTCTCTTCGTTTTATTTAACACATTTTTTTTTCAATGAAAAAAAATGACCTTGATTTTTCGTAGTAATTATAATAATATTGATGTTAGAAAACTCAATCAAAATCATCTACTTCCAGATGTTTACATATCACTCATCCGACATAGTTTCACTAAATTCTTCGTAACCTTAATTTGAGCAACAGCCAAGATTTATCAAATTGATTACTCATTTACGAAAATTTACTCTGTACTATAAACGTTAAACTTCAAAAATGTTCATTTTGGTGGAATGGGTAGTGGTCTGACGGCGGCTAAACCAGTTTACTTTTCTATTCCTCTTGTAGAGATGTTCAAGTGTTCAAATAGCGGAATGATGATAAATAAACGACTTCTTTATTTAAAAAAAACGTTTATATTTTTTTTCTCTTCGACTACTAATCAAAAGTAAAACAAATTTCTTAAATAAAGATTCAACGAACACTCAACTTGAAAATTCATTCAATCTGTCGTTAATTTATTTAGTGATTTTTCCTTATCTCACATACGACAACATACAGGATGGTCTAAAAGTCACCCGGTAGTCTCTGGTTGCGATTTTTGGAGCACTTCTGAATGACCTAAAAATTTGATTTTAGTCTCATTCGATAGAAACTGAAATTCTCTACAAATCTGGTATTTAAATCTCTGATAGCATTTTCTCGTCGCTGAGCTGTCGAACTGCGATGTGCTTTTGTCATCTTCTTTTTGTGAGATTTTTCGTCATTGTCTCAGCAGTGGCGGCTCGACCGGAGGGGGGATGGGGAGGTTACCTCCCATACTTTTTTAAAAAATTTGGTCGATTTTGGACAAAATCAAGAACGATTTACTCGTAATTTGACAAAAGATAAGAACGATTTATTCCGAATTTGGTTTTTCGGATACTAAAGTGCTGCTTTCTCCGAAAACTGATATTAAATGTGTTCTTTGAAGAAGCTTTCTTAACCGACTAAGATGACTTAAAAATGACTGACAAAACCAAACGAAAAGAGAAATAACATCATCTTTCATTCGTCCAATGCTCCTGCCTGCTCTGTTCTTCTCTCTACTCGGATCCTGTTCATTTTCTAACAATAAAGTTAGAAAATTGAACTGTAAATACATTATCCAAATGTTCAAAAATAGTCTTCTGTCACTAAAATTTCAAAACAATCAACGAAGACATGTACAAGATCTAACGACCAAGAGAAATTTCACTGAAAATCGAATTTTACCAGAGATGGAAGAGACTTTTAATTGCAATAGTTCAAACTAGAAATGTTTTAGCTCTTAGGTTGGCCAAATAAGAACGACAAACACTAACGCTCGCCCAAAAATTTCGCTCCTGCCTAAAGACGCCATGAACTGACTCAAAAATTTTAATTTCTCTGATCAAATATTCGACTTTTCATCGAACAGTTTGTGACTGAATGAATAGAGAATGAAGCAATGAAAGTAAAGCGAATAGGCAGACACATGCTCACTTACTAAAAGTAGACTTCACTATGAGCTCGGAGAATCAGGGGCTTATTTTTGGAGACCTGGCTTCCATTTTCGAGGATCTTACTCCCATTTTTGGATTACATAATGGTTTTAATTGAGAAATTTTGTTTATATATCAAATGATGCAGAATTTAATTCTGTGTTGGGTAATAAGACTAAAACCCGGGATTCAGAACGTTTTACTGCTTTTATAGTTAAAAAAGTAAAGTTTGTGAAAAATAGGTTCAAAAGTTAGGTAGTTTTAGATTTATCAGTTCTTTTGCACAGAAATTTTCCTAGAAGACTTAACTGCAAAATTTTGAGAACTATGTGAGAAGATGCAGAATTTTCCAGTGAGTCTTCTGATACTTTCAAAATTGAAATACTTTCAAAATTTTATTATGGAATGTATTTCTGAATCAAGGCAAATATTTTTCTATTCATAGTGTGTCGCAGTTCGACAACTCAGCAAAGGAGATCGCTGTGCTCAAACAACAAAAATGCTATCAGAGACTTAAATACCAGATTTGTAGAGAATTTAAGGTTCTATCGAATGAGACGAAAATCAGAGTTTGAGGTCAGTTGGAAGTGTTCCAAAAATCGCAACCAGAGACAGCCGGGTATCTTTTGGATCACCTTGTATCGTCATATTGGTAAGGAAGAGCCAGAGAAGAAAAGAAAAAATACTTGCGGTCATACAAGAGTGAGTCAAGCTTTGTAGACAGTCCTAAGAAGTGTGAAACTGTTGCCTTATCGATGACACATAGATCACAAGCAGATACAAGAAGAAAAAGATACATCATGTACATGGATCAAGCGGATAACGATGGAGATTGGAGCTATGCTCTTATCTAACACCATCGGACGACCATAAGTCGATCAAGCTGATCATCGGCGTTTTGTTCAGACTTTTCAGAGTGGAACGATTCACGTTGTTCTTCATGTCAGAGTAGATTTTTATCTACTTTGCTTTGGGGTTCAAAGTAAACAAAGTCTATATAGTAAGGTTTTTTTTCCCAAATTAGTTAGAATATATTGTCAAAAGTAGGTTTACAGAATAAAGGGAAGCAGTTGACAGCCAAGACCTTTTCATGTGAGTGGCCAAAAAGCTGATGCCCAATGTAAAATTAAACGTTACCTTTCGGAAAACTGGAAAGTTAAAAATATCTTTCTACTACATCATAAAAGGTAGAGATCCTGAACAGATTGTCTGTTTAACCTGAACTTGTTTATTGGAAAAGAAGAATAAATGAACTTGGTTTTGTATTGTACATCATATTTTCAAATTTGAGTGAAGTTATGCGGTGAATAGTCATTATGCGATACAGTTACAGATGTCCAGTTTCATCACTTATTGTGTTTGATCGCTTTTCTCTGCGGTACACGATAAACTGAAGCTCACTATTTATCAGCATTGATTTGTATATAATCAGGATTTTCATAGCAGTGCAGAACCCGTGAAACGACATTTCCTCGAACAGGATTCCGACTCTTCCACGAATTTTTCATCGTACACATTTGGGTATTTTTGGCGAACTGTATATCCGTAATTATATGACATAATGACTATTCACCGCATAACTAGTTTGAAAACATGATATACAATACAAAACCAAGCTCATTTATTCCTCTTTCCAATAAGCAAGTTTTCGCGAAAATGTCAGTGTACCGATCTTGTGTATATTGGCGAAACTGCACATGAAAATGTCATTCGAGTGCAAGAGTATCAAACGAAAATTCTGAACTAGGATCAACATTGAAAACTTGCTCATCATGCTGATTTGAACTCTCACGTTCTGGATTTTGACATCGTAAAAACACTTAATTTTGAAGGAAACCGGAGACGACGAGTGATAAAAGAAAGTCTAGTCGCTCATGAGATATTTGACAAGGATGATACAAAGCATTCCATCAAAATATTTGAATAAAAGTTCTTCATCGTTTCTTAGTGTTGATTTTGAAATTTTTTCTCTTTTTTGTCAGACGTGGTATCGCCAAGAAGGCTATGGGTCTTCTGTTTGATTTATGACGTAAAGAAATCTAAACATGAATCTCACACTCGTATAGAACAATTTTTTTCTCCACTCCTGTTTTCTTTCTGTCGACTACCTCTTCGGTACCATCTTTTTCTCTACTTTATTTCTTCTGTAAACATTTTCAGATTTACCCAGGTAATAAATCAAACAGAAGATTTACAACCCACTTGACAGCACGACACGTGACAAAAAAGGGAAAAAGAGGAAGAGATATAACTAGATTAGGAATCACTAGTTATTCCACATTAGTTATTCGCTTTGTCGGCGTTAGATTAATATTGTATTCTTTGCGCACTTGTTTATTCATCTTAAATGGCATCTGCAACTTATGCAAAAATTACAAATGACTGATGGTACGTTAACTCTTTCTCTGTGAGAGCAAAAAGTATGACTCCATATATTGTTTCAGATCAGAACAATATTAATCTCGTAACAAATATAAATAATCCAACGACTCCGATTCACCATTATTTTGTATTTTCGTTAATCTCGTCAATCTTCTTGTGTTCGGCATCTGGTAAGTGTTTTCTGATCGTTTTTAATTGTTTGTTTTAATATTTTTGCTTTCTTTAGGTATTGTTGCATTGGCATATAGTTTGAAATCATCAGCTAAAGCTGATGCCAAATTTTCAGATAAAGCACGCCTTTATTCACGTCGTGCTAAAATATGGAATTAAATTTCAGTAGCGTTATGTATAGTCTCATGTATTATCTGGACTTCTTTCTTCTATTTTTTGCTTCATATGTGGATCACGAAGGCAAGAAGGCAAACGTATATGGGATAAACAAGGATTAAATAATCGAGATGGCAATAACAATAAGTTTTCGTTAAACAATAGAGTAATTATGAAAACGGAATCTCGCTTCTCCTTGTTTATTTTTATCTTGAAAACTAATGCAGTTATTTTATTGTCAGTATATTCAACCGGTTAACCCTTTACACCCGAAAGCACTTTTATTATAGCTGCCGCTGAAATAACTATTGCATTAAAACTTACAGTTCTTTGGTACACCCATGCTATATATGG